GCCACCCAGCTGTCTACCTGCCTAAGGATCGAATCACCCACTACCAAGAGCCCCCCTCCCACCCTGCTCAGGGATGGTTCCTTGGTGCAAAAGGAGAGCCGCTCACCAGCTGGGGAAGAGGTCCCTTCTGAGGGCACATTCCCCTTATCCTCAGCATGGTGCCCTGTTTCCCCTAGACCCTCATGCTCCCTGACAGCAGCGGGGCTGCCAGATCCAGAGTGGGACGAAGCTAACAAGTCCCCGAGAGTCTTTTCTGTGTGCCTAGCTGACTGTCTCTGCTTCTCCAGGTCAGCCACCTTGGCCTCAAGGGAGCACACACGTTCCCTGAGAACCAGGAGCTCCTTGCACCGAGGACACACCCAAGACTTCTGCCCAGTGGGCAGATAGTCATACATGTGACACTCCGTGCAAAACACTGGATAGCCCCCAACCCCCTGCTGGCATTCTGGCTTCATAATTCTTTTAAAATAAATAAATATAATCCCCCTTTTAAACCCTTGGTATTTATGTGGGTTTTGTTATCAAGTCAAATTATTTTACGGGAAAGACAAAGAGCCTAGGGCCTTGTCTTTCTGGCTCTTTTTGGGCTTCTTACAGCGCCCCTAGTCTAAGAGTCCCTAGGCTAAGAGCCACAGGCAAAGAGCCCTTTAGCTCACCCTTCGGCTCGTGCCAGAGGCTCGTGCCTCTGCCAAGGTGTTTCCTTAAATAGAGGCCTCCCCCAGCAGAGGTCAGGCAGCAGCTATTCAAATTCAAATTCACCCAGGCACTCAATCACAGGCAAAACAATGCCCCTTCCACTTCCTCTCAATTACAGGCAATCCCAGTCAAACAGTGCCCGTTCCTCTCCCACACTCAATCAGCCAGGACTCTGCAAGAACTCTAAGTGCTTCCACACACTGCTAAACACAGTTTTCCCACAAAATATCCTTAGCTGAATTCTCTCAGCTGAAAGCAAGTAAAAGAAACCCACTCACCTCTCTCACAGCTCTCTCTCCTGCTCCTGCTCAGAGCTCAGCTGGTCTCAAATACAAGCTTTAGATATTGAAAAAGCTTTTGATAAATTGGAACTGAAATATTTACAAGAGCTCTTAAATGCGATGAACTTTGGGGACAAATTTAAGTGCACAATTGCTTTAATGTACTGTAATCCAAAGGCCCAAATAAAAGCAACGGTTTAACTTCTTTAGATTTTTCATTAACATGGGGTAGAGGCAAGGGTGCCCAATGTCCTCTTTATTATTTGAAGAAGAGAAGAAGAAGAGATTGGATTTATACCCCGCCCTTCACTTGGCGTCTCAGAGCGGCTTACAAACTTCTTTCCCTTCCCCTCCCCACAACAGACACCCTGTGAGGTGGGTGGGGCTGAGAGAACTCTGACACAAACGGCTCTTTTTCAAGGACAGCTGTGCCAGAGCTTGTGACTGACCCAAGGTCACATCAGCAGGTGCAAGTGGAGGAGTGGGGAATCAAACCCGGTTCTCCCAGATTAGAGTCCGCACACTTAACCCCTACACCAAACTGGCAATTTGCTTTAGCGATTGAACCCTTTGCTAATACCATTTGTAATAACCAATGTATTTCAAGTATAACAACTGGCAACCTTCAGTACAAAATCAGTTTGCGGACAACGTACGATTATATCGCTCAAATCCACAAACCTCTCTAAAAGCAGTAGAAAGCGTGTTACAACAATTTGGATTTATGCTGATTAACATGTAAACTGGAAATATGGCCAAACTGTATCCTATCAATTTGACCCCTAACACCAAGAAACAAATTCAAGATACATTCTCATACAAATGGGTAAATAATAAATGGACCCATCTTGGTATAAATATTCCTTTAGATCTAAACAACCTTTTAAAAACTAGTTTTACTAAACTAAACCTCTCAACCATTTCGCAACTCAGACAATAGAATAACAAAATACTTACCTGGCCAGAAAAAATAGACCTTAATTGTTCTTTAATATTGCCTAAATATATGTTTTTATTTAGAACTCTGCCAATATCAGTACCCCTTAAATGATATTTGGCAAAAAGCTCTTAATAACTTTATTTGGAACTCAAAAAGAGCAAGACTCAGCCTCCACACATTAAGAAGAAGAAGAGATTGGATTTATACCCCACCCTTCACTACCCAAAGGAATCTCAAAGCAGCTTACAAACTCCTTTCCCTTCCCCTCCCCACAATGGACACCCTGGGAGGTAGCTGAGAGAGCTCTGACAGGAACTGCTCCTTTTCAAGGACAGCTCTTATCAGAACTACGGCTTGCCCAAGGTCATCCAGCAGGTGCAAGTGGAGGAGTGGGGAATCAAACTCGGTTCTCCCAGATTAGAGTCCGCACACTTAACCACTACACCAAACTGGCTCTAAGACAACCTACAGTTGCAGGAGGACTCAATTATCCTGATTTAAAATTATACCATAACTCAGTATGTTTATCAGACATAGTACGAACGTTGTCTTCTTCAAATTCACCAACTTGGTTAGATATAGAGCCATCCTATGCTTGCACCTTTACCCTTCCGGAACTAACCACATTATAGACCAACTGCCATGCAACATATTGTCTTTTTAACGGCTACTATAAAAGTATGAGACAGAAGGAGACAACTGTTATCTCCTTACGTATCACCTCTCACTACGTTCTCTAAACAACCCCGGTTTGAACCTGGGTTGAAAGGCAAACGTTTTAAATTTTGGCAGAAAACAAATATGACTAGGCTGATAGATATTACACATCATGGCATTATTCTTCCAAAAAATGAACTGGAAGCTAAAAGTGGTACTTCTTTGCCATGGTTTCAATATTTTCAGTTGAAACATCTTACAGAACAAAGAGAGATCAGAATGGTGTTGCAGAACAACGGCATAAGGAATCTGGAGAATCCTTCACAATGGCAACAAATGTGGCAAACTCCAATTTTTACAACCAGAGCACTGAATATGAAATATCAACCCTTTAAATTTTTAGCAAGATGGTACTACATACCTTTGAAATTAAATCATATTAATCCAAGAATTAAAGCCTATTGCTGGAAAGTATTCCAGCTTCGTATTTTCATTGCTGGTGGAGTCCTTCTTCCCCCAAAGAGTGATGAACACATGGAATTTACTGCCACAGGAGGGGGTGGCGGCTACAAGCATGGACGTCTTCAAGAGGGAACTAGATAAACATATGGAGCAGAGGTCCATCCGTGGCTATTAGCCACAAGGTATAGATAGGAACTCTCGATCTGGGGTAAGAGCTCTGTATTCTTGGTGCTCGGGGGAGGGGGCAACAGTGGAAGGACTTCTGGTGTCCTGGCCCCACTGATGGACCTCCTGATGGCACCTGGTATTTTTGGCCACTGTGTGACAGAGTGTTGGACTAGATGGGCCATTGGCCTGATCCAACATTGGCTTATCTTACATCCTTATGCTCTGTTCACAGATACAAACTTTTTGGCTTTTCATAACCCAACAAATTTCTCAAATAGTGAGTTATCAACTGCCACTTAACCCAGAATTTGTGCTCTTAAATCATTGACATGGAATTATAATCCCAGTAGCTAGGAAAGAATTGGCAGTGTCATTATTTGCAGCAGCTAAAACAGTTATGGCATCAACTTGGAAAGACCAAAAACCTCCTCTGCACTCTCTTCCTGGCATAGGAAGGTCTGGGACATCTCAGTTATGGAAAAGATGACATGGCAACTTAACCCGTCGAATTCAGACAATGCACAACATCTTCTTCTGTGGCAGTTTTGTGGTTTCCTCTTACAGACTCGTTATCTCAACATGTACCATGTTTTAATTTTTCATTCCCAGTAGAACCTTATTGTTGAACCTTATTGTTCCTCTTTTGTGATTTGTGTATATAGTTCTTCACATTACCAACAATAGACTAATTACTGTTCAGTTTTTCTATGTTTTTGGATTTTTTGTTGTATTCCTTGGTTGTTTCTTGTATTATTCAAAGTTAATAAAGTTTTTATTTAAAAAAAAAGCATAATTATAGGTTGGAGTAGAGTTGTCTTGGCAGTAGTATGTGCAAGAATTATCTAGGGGTCTTAGTAGACCATATACTTAACATGACTCAGCAGTGTGATGCGGTTGCTTAAAAGACAAATGTATTTTGGGGCTGTATCAACAGAAGAATAGTGACCAGATCACGCGAAGTGATGGTACCACTTTACTCTGCTCCGGTTAGACCTCACCTGAAGTTTTGTGTTCAGTTTTGGGCACCGCAGTTTAAGAAAGATATAGACAAGCTGGAAGGTGTCCAGAGGAGGACAACAAAGATGGTGAGGGGTCTGGAGACCAAGTCCAATGAGGAAAGGTTGAAGGAGATGGGTATGTGTAGCTGTCAGCTATGCTGCCATGGGGGTTGGGGAGTTCGTTCTGTGTCTTGGTAATTGCTATTGCATTCCTGTCTCTGCTGTTCTGCCTGTGTTACTGCATCTATAGCTTTGCAATAAAAGTATAACCGTTCCTGAATGCGTGTACTTCATTGTAAGCTGTGGGTTCTGACAGTAGCCTGGAGAGGAGACGACTGAGAGGTGATATGATAACCACATTCAAGTACTTGAAGGGCTGTCATATATAGTACGGTGCGGAGTTGTTTTCTGTTTCCCCAGAAGGTCAGACCAGAACCAACAGGTTAAAATTCAGTCAGAAGAATTTGTGAATTTCCTGCTGTGTTCAGGGGGTTGGACTAGATGACCTTGGAGGTCTCTTCCAACTCTATGATTCTAAGTTTCCTCCCTTTTCAGAATGTGTCTTGCAGTTCCATTATGTGACTTTATCAGGATCATGAAGGAGTTGATATTTTGAGTTCGTAGTCCCCCTGTCTTCCTTCTTTTTGTGTTGTGTTTCTCAGATTGTAAACTGTCAGTTCAAACTGCAATGTACTTTAATGCTTTGCCAGAATTAAGCATATAAATGTAGTAAAACTAAAAAGTGTGCTGTTTGCCATAATATGAATGCAACTTCTGTTTTAACTTATGTTCCTACAGAAAGAAGTCAAAAAGCCTTGGAGAGCAGTGGAAGAAAGGGATCCCTATTGAGGTCATCCCTATGGCCTACAAACCCGTGACCAGGGCCCTGACCAAGAGGTTTGGGGGTGTGGCAGAACTGAGGATGGCCGTCAGTAAAGCTGTAAGTATAAACAAGGGTGATCGGGGAAATCTGCACTCACTGAAGTACGCATTTTTATGTTTCATATACAGGTAGTTGATTAGTTGGAAGCTACTATTCTGTAATATATTTAAAATATTAAATTAGAAGTTCTGGGATTTTCAGGCAGTGCCAAATAAGGGAACTTTGAGCTTACCAAACTCAGTGGTAGGCAGTTAATATTAAAATGTTTCATACAGTCCATGCTAGTGTAAGCTATGCCTACTCTGTGGTGCTAAAATTTAAAATCCCTACTCTCCAACTATCCTGAATCCGGAGCTCATATAAATAATGTAAATTGAACAGTTTTGAACTGGCCTGAGAGTGCAAAATAAATTTGTACCATAGATAGCCCAGGCAAGCCTGATCTTATCAGATCTCAGAAGTTAAGCAGGGTCGACTCTGGCAAGTCCTTGGATGGGAGACCTCTGTGAAATACCAGAGGTGGGAGGCGGGGGCAGGCTTTTTTCAGCCACCCCTCTGAATATCCTCCAGGCCCCCAGTAGGGGTCCATCACCAGAGGTCGCCATGACTTCCAGCTGCACACACAGTCACATATGAAAAATACTAAAAAAAAACCCATTGTACCATGGGGGGCAGGTACAGACAGAGGAGGTGTTTCTACAAGTCTGTGGGAGCCCCCGTGTTTACACAGACGTCCTTAAAAAGAGGGCCTGTTGCTTGGTGCTGGAGGGGGGCTGGGGTCAGTTGCATGGTGGAGAACCTGCAAGGAATGGCCGGGGGGCACATCACTTTCCCCTGTGCTCCCTTCCTCACACTGTTGCCTCTGCTACTCCTTTTGACAGCCCTCCTTACCCTCAACTTTCCCTGTTGCCTCGTCTCTTTCCTGCTCACCCACCAGCCCACCTTCTATTTGCCCTCTCTTCGCAGTATTTGTTATTTACTTACTTCATAGGTAGCTGACCTTTCTCCCCATCACATCGTTCTCCTCACCCCCATTTCACCTTCATTTACGGGGGAGGGAATTCCTGAGGGGGGAGTGCCTGGGTGTTTTGGGTGGATGCCTGTAGAAGTCATCACTTTCCTTAAGATTGTGCCCCACTGCTAGTTCCCAAGGGAGCTGGCCTTGGAGACTCTCTTGCCAGGCCTGGATATAGATGAGGTGCCGTATCTCTGTCAGGGTTGCCATAGCAACCGTAGGGGCTGAATGGTGACGTCTGCGAGAGGTGCGGGGTGCATTTTGTATTATCTATAATAGGGGCTTTTGCGTGCCTTTTTCTCAGTTCTGACACGGAGCCTGTTTCCTAAAGTAAGCCTATCTCAACAAACTGCCACTGCTCAAGTGTGTTGTGGAGAGTGTCTGAACTGGGAGGCCTGGCAGCCTGTGAGCTCCGTTAGGCTGAGAGCTGGGCTGCTGCTGCTGTTGAACAGTAGCAGCCACCTGGGCCTAGGTAAGTCATGCAAGCGGCATGGTAGTGAGTTTTGTCTGGTGGCTGCTACCCAGCATGGCCTGATGAGTCTTCCCTCAAAGGTCAAAACAACCCTGGGAAGAGCTCTGCCTCCTCCCACAGCCTTTTACTGACAGAAACCAAGGCTTGATGTCTGGCAATACTGTTGTGGTTGCCTAGTAGCAGCCACAGAAAGCAGCCATTTCTTAATGCTATAGATGCTGTTTCTATAATGGGGAGGTTTAAACCCCCCCCCCCAGTATTTTGTATTTAAATTTCAGATTTCTCTGCAACCCGAGCAATTTTCTCAGGTTTGCTGAAAGATCTGTCTTGTCTGTCCTGGCTCCACTTTCTGGATTGCGTCATGTTGAGAATTATATATGTTCATTGTCAAATGGAAACAATGTATGATTTCCTCTCTTCTGTACTTAGTGTATTAGATTTCCATTTAATTTAATTTAATTTAAAATAAATTAGTTGTAAAATGAAAGGTTATCTATATACTAATAGCGAAAGGCGCCCCCTGTGTGCGGATCACTAAATCCGCACATCGGGGGCACCTGGGGGGCAGGGAGATTTTCCTGCACACTTGGGGTAGTCCCCAGGTGTGCACAAAAATCTAAAAACTTGAAAAAAATATCGGGGGGATATTTAAATCCCCCCCCCAAAGTAAACTGCGGCGGGCTGGTGGTTGGAAGCCACTCAGGCCTCGCCGCAGGAGCAGGGGGAGGGAGGAGGAGTTCAGCAGTGGTGGAGGAGGAGATCTCTGGAGCCGGGGGAAGAAGATGATCAGCGAGGCCTGGTGGCTGCAAGCCACTTAGGCATTGGAGCCAGGGGTGGGGGAGGAGCCGGGGAGGAGACTGGCGAGGCCCAGCGGATGCAAGCTGCTTGGGCCTCGCTGCCAGAACCGGGGGTGGG